GGTCACGGCGGCCCCCTTAGACCATAGAGTTCTGCACAGGGAAAGATCGTATCACGGTGTTCCGGCGGAGAGACGACCATAGAGACGTGGCGGCGTCTTCTTTGAGGTTGAAGAAGCCGTCTGGGCGACTTGAGGTTTTGGTCAGATTCTTCAGCCCGTATTTAGGTAGTAACTAAATCATGTCAGTGTTTTTTCTTTTAAAAATCGTCAGTGCTTCCCCTTAAAGTCGTGTTTTTTATTTGTGGTTCATGTTTCGTTGGAGCCAAGCGTGACAAAACACATGCTTGGAAAAAAAGTAACTATAATATATTGACAACGGTTATCCGTAAGTGGAATAATGGTTGGTTTCTTTTCCTACTGAAGTATTTTTCAAAACTTTAACAAAATATGTATTTCCTTAGAAGAAAAGGATTTGCTAGCACTATTGAGTCCAAGTCCCAGTCTTTTACGGTATTGCCGTAACGTTTTACTCATGCTCCTTCATCTCACCTTCATTCTCCACATGGAATTGGGTTCCTTGTATACCACTGTCCTGCTGATCGTCTTAGGTTATTCGTTTCCTTACGATACTCTAGTCTTTGGGAATTTGCTATGGCTGTCTTCGCCTGCTACAAGCTAGAAGTAGGGACATTAATAACTAACTAGATACCTAGTTATTAATGTCCATTGTTTTTTTGTTCCAAGGAAAAGGCCTTAAAACTGAAATTTGCTGTAATAAAAACTTATGTTCGTGCACATTTCTGTTTTTCTAAAGTGCTTCACATATGCAGTTTAGCATAATGGAAAACTCTAGACTTACCATCAGGGGATCTGGTTTCTAATCCCAGATTTGCCACTTAGCTGAGTGACTTTGGCAAGTTACTTCCCCACCCGAGCCTCAATTTCCTTACTTGTCAAATAGAGATGGATAGTAATGTCTTTGTCTTGACTGATATGCTTGGGAATCGTGCTGGAAAAAGAAATGCTATATAGTGTAAAGATATACGTGATTAAATGTAAAATAAAAATATTAAAAATATATTTAAAAATAGAGATAATAATTTCTACTTCAAATAGTTGTTTTAAGGATTAAATGAGATACTGACGTATGCTCCTTAGTAAATATTATGTCTGCCATGTAATTATAGATGATAAACATTATCCATAACAAGTTGCTTCTACCTTACCTGCCTCCAGTTTGTTGAAAAGATTAAAAATAAAGGGGGACCAGCAGTTAGCATAATGGCTATGTCGCTGGACTCCCATGTAGTCAACCGCAGTTTGCGTCCCGGACCCGGTGGCTTAAACTCACGCCGGGCGCGTGTGCGTGCATGCCCAAGATCCCGAGAGGAGAATGGAGGAGAAGGGATTGCGGCGTGACCATCCCCTCTGGGGGGTGATTTCTTGCTTTCTTTCTCTCTGTCTCTGTCTGTCTGGTGAGCGCATGCGCCCTCTCCAAAAAAAAAAAAAAAAAGAATTTTCTCTTCATTTTATAGGTGAGGAAAATGAAACTCAGATTAAATGACTTACCTAAGATCATACGGTGAGTTAGTTACAGCTAAACCAATAACCATCTTCAAAATCCCACTTCAGTGTCTTTTCTATCCCTGTAGTGAGCCAGTGGGTGTTGATTTTATGAGGAGGTCCAATTCTATTTAAGACTTTTTTTGGATGAGAGAACATTCACTCACTACCCCCCACCTTAAAAGAATCCGGGTTTCTTTTTTTTTATAGAATTATTTTATTTAACTTTATTTATTATTAATATCATTATTATTTTTCAGTTTGATCAGAGAGAGACAGAGAGGAAGTGAGAAAGCAAGCCACCAGGTCCGAGACTTGAACCGTGGTAGGCCATGTGGGAGTCCAGCGCCTTTAACCACCACGCCACTTGCCGGCCCCAAGGGGTTTCTTTTTAAAGGCACATGTGGCCTGCATTGCTCTCGAACTGTAAAAGTTCAAAGCAGGTATAGGGACTGGATATGCTCAGCATCCCCCAGAGTTCAAACATGGCCTTTTTATTGACAAGACTTGTTTACTAGTTTCTGCTCTCTCTGGACTACACCTTGCATGTGGCTACTACTTGCTGCCTTCGGCTCACCATTTCTCCAGTTGTACCCTCAAATGGGGGAAGTTGATTTATTGGGTTGTAGGAAAAGTCATGACATTTTTCTCTATGTGTTTCTATGCAAAAAATGTGCCATGACTTTCCTGACGACTCAATAGTCCCCTCATTTTCCTGGGCTAAGCCATGTCACAAACTAAGCCATCAAACCGCCTGTGGGCTTAATGATATTATGCCAGGGGCCAAACTGTCCAATTAACTTGAGACAAGGTGGGAGTTATTTATTTTTACTTTTCTTTTTTTTTTCTTTTAAGGCTTTTGCCATAGGGCACGTGTGTTCACAGAAGAGAGACAGACAGGGACCAGTAGTTAGCTTAATGGCTATGTCGCTGGAATACCATGTAGTCAACCGTCGTTCGAGTCCCAGCTTAAACTCAAGCCAGGCATGTGTGTGTGTGAGTGCCCAAGATCCCAAGAGGAGAATGGAGGAGAAGGTATTGCAGTGTGGCCATGCCCCCTGGGGGCTGATTTCTCGCTTTCTGTCTCTATCTTTCTCTGTCTTTCTGGCAAGTGCACATGCCCTATAGCAAAAAAAAAAAAAAAAAAACAACTCTCAAAAAAGAGAGAGCGAAAACAAAAAATCACTTCCCAGAGATGTTGGCTACACTAAAATTCCTTTTCCTTCATAGTCCCCTTGGGATTTTTTGGCACTCACACACATGCACCCAGCATGATTTTCAAGTTGCCAGGTCTGGGACTCAAACCATGGTTGACCATGTGGGAGTCCAGTGCCTTAACAAGTGCATCACCTGCTGACCCCATGATAGGAGTTACTGCAAGAAGCCAAACCAGGTGCTCTCACCAGTAGGCCTGTGTCCAGGACTCTTTAGCATGGAATGTAGGCATGATGTTCTGAAGTGCGGCCTATCCCTTAGGGGTCTCTTTCCTACAGCCTAAACTTTCAAACATCTAATGTAGATGAGGAGGCCAATTATTCTAGATGGTTGATGCAAGTACATTTGCTTTATAGTCAGGAAAAATAAAAGTAGGTACATCAAATATTTCTAAGTTAAATTATATTTTGATTGCACCGGTTGTTCTGGCTTTTTGTTTTATTTTGACTATGGGGGAACATGCAATCAGTGGAGAGAGAGAGAGAGCATAAGAAATCACCTCCAGGGGGTGATGGCTCTGCTGCAATCCCTTTTCCTCCATCCTCAGGATTTTGGGCATGCACGCATATGTGCCCAGTGTGATTTTCAAGCCACCTGGTTGGGAACTCAGACCGTGGAATTGAACATGTGGGACCCAGCCACCTTAACCTCCTTGCTGCCTACTGACCCTAGTTGTTTTTTGTTTTGTTTTGAGAGAAGGTAAAGCTTAACCCTCTCACCAAAGAGAGACAGAGAGGCAGAGAGAGAGAAATCACACCCCTACCCCCGGTGGGGGGGATGGCCACGTCACAATCCCTTCTCCTCCGTTTTCCTCTCGGGATCTTGGGCACACATGCACACGCGCCTGGTGTGAGTTTAAGCCACCGGATCCGGGACTCGAACTGCTGTCGACTATGTGGGAGTCCAGCGACATAGCCATTATGCTAACTGCTGGTCCCCCAGTTTTATTTTTAAAAGACAGCCCTTTTCAAAAGATTCTCTCTCTTATATAAAGGAAATAATCAGCCTTTTAGCTCTTTTACCCAAGGATATCTTTGATCCAAAGATCATTTAACAGTTCTTGGTGAGTTTCTTAAAATGCCTTCCTAATTACATTCTGCTTATGTCTACATTAAAACTCATCACAGGGACCAGCAGGTGGCGTAGTGGTTAAGGTGCTGGACACTCCCACATGGCTGACCACAGTTCAAGGCTTGGACCTGGGACTTGCTTTCTCACTTTCCTCTCCTCTCTCTCTCTCTGTGTCTCTCTCTGGTCAAATTAAACTGAATGAATAAATAAATAAACTTAAAAAAAAAAACAAATGCCTGCTTCCCTTTTAAAAACAAAACAAAACAAAACTCATCACATCCTAGACCCACTTTGCTGGCTGTGGCTGAGGAAGGTAGACTGGGAGTCGAATGGAATTTGAAATTGATTTTCGGTAAAATCTAAAGATTCTCTCCTCTCACATACACGTTTCTCTTTCCTGACACACACGGTTCTCTCCTCTCTCTCTCTCTCACACACACACACACACACACACCATGTAAGCATGCCTGGAAGATTAGAGGTAATTAACAGATAGTTACCAAGCATCTACTAAAAATTGCTGTGTGGGGTGATGGTGAAAGTGTCCGGAATACTAATAAAGTATGACGTTTGCTCTTCCCAGTGGTGGAAACGAATCAGTTCCCAGACCCCACAAAGTTCTTTCTAGGTAGTAAATTCCTTGGTGGGAAGGAATCGTGTCCACTAGTCTTTATACACTCCCCCGCGCTAAGTATCATCCAGTGTGGAATAGTGTCTGGAACATGGTGGCTCACAATGATGAAAGCCACTTAATAAGAAAAGTAACAGTGGGAGAAAGGCTTCAAATTGGACACCTGGGTCCCTGCAAACAAACTTCACATTTACAGCAGTGCTGGCTAAATGTGCACATTGTTTCTAGAAGAGCAGCTATTATATTTCATATAGGACTGTCAAAATAGCTAACATTAAAGTGAAAAAAAAAATCCTAGAAGGTCTTGAATAGGCCACTTGAAAGCAAATTCTGCAAAAAGTCCAGAATTTCACATTTTTAAAAAATTTATTATTTTTTAAAATTGCTATAGTGCATGCGTGGTTACCAGCAAGAGACATGGGGGGGTGGGGGTGGAGTGAAAAAGCAAGCAGTTAGGTCTGGGAAGTAAACTATGTTCAGCCATGTGGGAGTCCAGCACCTCAACCACCATACCACCTGCTGGCCCCACATTTCTTCTTAAGTTTGCTGTTGACCATTAAAAGGTAAACGTATTTACTAAAATTAAAATTTGGCAATCCAGGGAACCAGCAGTTAGCGTAATGGCTATGTTGCTGGACTCCCACGTAGTCGACCGCGGTTCGTGTCCGGACCCGGTGGCTTAAAACTCACGCCGGGCGCGTGTGCGTGTGTGCCCAAGATCCTGAGAGGAGAATGGAGGAGAAGGGATTGTGGCATGACCATCCCCCCTGGGGGGTGATTTCTCGCTTTCTGTCTCTATGTCTCTCTCTGTCTGTCTGGCGAGCGCACGCGCCCTACAGTGAAAATCTCTAAAAAAAAAAAAAATTTGGCAATCCAGATTTAAAGTGTAAATATTGGGTTGTCAGAAAAGTCATGACCCATTTTTGCATAGAAAAATAATCCCATAAACCAGAGTGGACTCTGTGGAGGAATTACTGTAAGATACAATATCATATTGACACGTGCTCACTGGAGAGACGGAGACAGTGAGAGGGAAGGTGAGAAATCACTCCCTACAGGGGATGGCCATGTCACAATTCCTTCTCCCATGTTCTCCTTCTGGGATTTTGGGCATGCATGCTCATGCTCTGGCATGAATTTCAAGCTTCCAGGTCTAGGACTTGAACTGCGGTCAGCCACGTAAGAATCCATTGTCTTAACTACCATGCCACCTGCTGGCTCCAAGATCTTATTTAACAGCTGTTAAATTGTAGTTTAAGCCCCTAAATTGCAGTGAGTGATAGGGTTTAGAGACCACCAAGTCTTCAAGTGACTTATGTACTGCTTGAATAGCAGAAAGGCTGTCCTGGCCTCTGGAGTATTGGACACTTTAATGAACATTAAATCTGACCAGAGGGTCCAGCAGTTAGCGTAATGGCTATGTTGCTGGACTCCCACGTAGTCGACCGCGGTTCGTGTCCGGACCCGGTGGCTTAAAACTCACGCTGGGCGCGTGTGCGTGTGTGCCCAAGATCCCAAGAGGAGAATGGAGGAGAAGGGATTGCAGCGTGGCCATCCCCCCCAGGGGGTGATTTCTCGCTTTCTGTCTCTATGTCTCTCTCTGTCTGTCTGGCGAGCGCACGCGCCCTACAGTGAAAATCTCTCAAAAAAAAAAAAAAAATCTGACCAGCAAACCTCTCACCTATTGTCCATGGAAACCTATAGTTTTCCAGCATTGAGAGTCACTTTAGAAGCTAAAAAGAAGGAATATTTAAGCCAAAGGAAACTCAAAAAGATAATATTTTATTTTCAGAGCAGCTGATGCAATATTGAATCAGGTTTTCACAAATAAATATGACAGTGTCTATTTGGTTACATCTCTATTTGATGAATGCCCATCTATAGGAACTCTGATAAATTTCTGTGAAGGCTAATGACTGGAACCTACTAAAGAAAATTCTCCTGGTTTTCCTTCTGAGAAAGTATTGCAATAATTGAAGAAAGGAAAGTTTTTCATTCAGGAAGGTAAAACAAGCTAGAATGCCCTTTTATTTAATTTTTAAGGAATGCACCTTTTTTAGGACAAATCTATAAAACATTTTTATTTATTTGTTACATATGATGTTTAAATATAACTTTGCTTTCAAGCTTCAACTTTTTTTTTTTTTTAAATCCCTGGTAAAATAAGACTTTTGGTTCACCTTAACAAAAACTGACCTAGGAAGAAACATTTTTAGCAAAATGTTATAAAAGTCACTAGAAAATACTGTCCTCTTTTTTTTTGCCAAAATGTTACATAAAATCCTTATTAAAAATACACACATTACAAAAGAAAAATTATGAATATGCTATACATAGTGCTTTGATATGGACCAAGGGATCTGCATTCCAGGAAAATACAGTTAAGCACACTAGATATTATGATGTCAACTTATAATAGTGCAAACCTGAATAAATTACATCCTGATATGGAAGGCATGCAAGTCATTTGCTGAGAATAGAACATAACGAAGCCCGAACAGGAAGCAATCACAACCACCATTTAAAAATGTTTTAATTTTTATTACATTAATTTTTTTCAAAAATACTTTTCTTTACAATAGAACTCCTAGAAAATATTTACAACCTTCCTCTAATAAAATATAACAGCAGTTAAATATATTTGAAAATAAGGTGGGTTTTTCCATAAAATATATCTGTTAACTTTTTATATACAAGCTTTCTCAAAGAGGTTTAAATTCACTAATGAAAAACCATCCGATCGTAAACAGTAAGTTTGCTGAAGACATTAACCATTAGGAAGAAAAATTCTTTGGGGTAGGGTCTGGGGTGGGTCTGGGGAAAGCTAAAACACAACACATACATGCAGGCAGAATCATTTCAGGAAAAAAAAAATAAGTGCAATATTTTACTAGGAAGTCAATTCTTTTAGCTGATAGTCAAGAAATACTAATTCAGGAATTTGAACTGTCTCATCGAGGAGGAGTTCTTTGGTTATTTCAAGTCAAAAATCCTTATGCTATACTGCATGGAAAATTAAAATAAAATTATGCATTATATTTTTTTGCCATGGCAACTCAGCTTATTTCTACTGTTTAAAACCAGAACAGCTGGGCAAATCTCCAAACAGAAAGAATACACTTGCTTTATGAACATGTTTCTAGGTGTTTGCACCTTTGATAGATAAGATTCCATAGACCCAAGAGCAGAAGCATTTAGCTCACTCTCACATCTGGGTGAGAGGAGGGAAGTAGTCACTGGGACTGAGACGATCAGCCCACGATATGACAGTTGGAATGGTTCTGTAATAGTTTTGCCACAAAGCTGGTGCACACCACTGCAGCAGGTTCTGAACTCAAACCTGCTTTGACACAACACTGGATAGAATAAGCTGTCCGAAATGGCAGCAAATAAACCACTTATTTTCCCCTTAAAAATTAAAAAAAAAAAAGAAAGAGAAATCTTTAAAACCTCTTTGAAAACAGAATGATAGAAATGAAGAGTCTGTATTTTTCTTTTCAGGCTTTCCTGAGAGTCAGAGACCATTGCCTGTGTGGGGTTTCTATGGGCCACAGCTGGCCCCCAATAATGTTCGCTAAATGCTTTCCCGGTCAAATTTACAGGTGCTCAGGTCCTCATGCTTCTGGTGATAGTCACTCTAATGTCATGCTATCTATGTGCCAGCCAAGTAGCTCAGCGTGATGGCCACACTTACATGGGACTGGGGAACTAGCCTACCTGTTGTGAAAGGAGGCCCAAAAACACCTGCTTGGGGAGTCACTAAGCTAATGCTTGAAGAGGGAGCCATGAAAAGTTAACCTGGAGGAGGGAGTCGTGGGAGGCTAACCTGGAGGGAGCCATGGAAAGCAGGATCTTCTCCATGCTGGTTCCGTATCCCAGTCTGACTTCTGCCCTAACAGTGGGATGGGTCACTCTGACTCCGCTCCAAAGCCTGGGCTAAACATGTGTGAAAGATTACAGGTTTATTACCTTCAAGTACAAACAGCATCCTGCCAACAGGGACAGGAGGAGGCAGAACCAAGTCATGCAGCTTGGAAAACTCTAGAAATGCTTTGGTAAGTGACTCGTAATGGATACATTCATCCTCTGAATGCAGACATTGCGGCTAACGCGTACTCAAAGCCATGTTTACTAGCCGCCTATGCTATTTCCCTTGTATTTGCTACCATTACGTCTTAGAAAACCCTATTTCTCAAAGCTAGTGTCAAGGTGAACTTGAGTCCAACACATGTGAATTTTGGCAAAATCTCAGTGAATGAGGTTTCACAGTACTTCCAAGTGGCACACGGGAATTTCTAAACTCCGCTGACCATTAACAGTGTTGTGAAAAACAATAGACTTCTTGCTTTTTGGGCAAAAGAACACTTCTTGGTATTCTAGCTACTTCCAAGTGAGCCCTTGGACTAGCCTCCCTCAGAATGAAAGTAGTCCTGGCAACTTAACAGTTGGGGTATTTGCCTCCAGACAGGTCTCTAGTCAGCCCATGCTGAAACAAGGCTTTTCTACTCACACCTAGGAGCTGACCAGCCCCCAGGGAACATGGAAGAGGATGGGCCTGCGATATAAACCAGGTCTTTAGTAAATCGCTGCCCAGAGTACAAGCCCAGAATTATACAGTACTCTGTTGCTGCAAACAGGCCAAAGAGGGACAGACTTTGCAGGGGAGAAACCTATTTTTACATCTGGTCACTTCTTCAGATGACGTGTACGCAAGGAGAGCCAAGGAACACAAGGGCTTGCTTTGCCCCCCAGAAAGCTACTCCCTAGCATAGAGTCTCCTGGCAAAGAGGCCGAGTTCACTGCAAACTACAGAATGAGGTCAGAACAGAATAAAAATAACTCGGTGGGAAAAGATGGCCCAAGGCCCCAGCACAAAGAGGGTAGCCTGCTTCGCACACACACACACTCGCGCACAGCAAGCTTGGGATAAAAGGCAACCAGGATGGCTGACATCTGAAAGCGATGGAACGTGAACCTCAGGTTCATTCCCTGCTGGGAATGGTTTCATGAGAATGTAGCTCAGATGAAACACCTCTTAAAGACAGTTGTGCCAATTATTTATTCCCCCCAATCCCTCCCCAAACCGTTTTCTTAAATAAAAAGAAATGTCCCCCCTCCCCAACCTGAACAAAATGACCACTTTTCAAACAGGTAGTTTTATAAAAGGGTTACAAAACAAGCAGGCAGTCCAGGTTTCCTGATTAAGGAAGACGGAGGCTATGGGTTTACACGGTCTCTAAGTGGCATACGGGCTTTACAGTTCCGTGTCACCCTGAAGCAAGACTGAATCTTGATCATCTAAGAGAAGATCGGCGTCCACGACCTCGGCCTCCTCCATGACACCTCCTAACTGCTGGACGACGTCGTCATCCAGGATGTCCACGTCCTTGATGGGTTTGATGAGACCCAGCTGGTCCAGGGGCAGCAGCCCCGGTCCCCCCACCGGCCCCGTAGTCCTCTCGATCGTGGCTGCCATTTCCACCGCAAAAGCTGCTTTCTGGGCCTTCTGCCTCTGCTGTTCCTCCTGCTGCCTATGAGTTTTCATGTGTGCGTTTCGGCTTTTGATCTTGAAGAAGACCCTAAAAACGAAGAAAAAGAAGCACTGGACATTTAGAAGGAGATTGGAGTTCTTGAAAATCTGAGTGTCCTACAGGAAATGGGGGTGCATGATATGACATCTGGTTTGAGGTGGCTTTGACACAGCCCCAGCCTCCTCAGCTCCTAGGAGCTCCTCTCCTGGGACCTGTCACCTCTCCCCTTCTCTGCAAGTATGGAAAAGAGATGAGGGCAAGGAACACACTTACAGTGTGCCAGGCTTTCATGGGACACTGGAGGAGACATTCTACAAGGGTTCTGGAGCACATGGCCTCTCCTCCAGCCTCACTTTTCTCCCCATCATTTAATTATGTCCTCTCCACAGGAGAACCCCATGTATGCTAATGAGTGTTGATAGTACCCCTTGTAAGACAACCCACTGTATACCTCTGGCCTAGTTCTTCTGATCAAAATTCTTTTTTTTTCAAAAATATTTTAGAACATTTTATTCATAATAGGGAGCGTGTGTGTGTGTGTGTGTGTGTGTGTGTGTGTGTGTGTGTTTAGGGGGATCTCCCTTTCCCAGCCTCTAGCTCCTCAGGATCTTGGACAAGCATCCAGGAGTCCAGTGAGTTTTCAGGCCAACCCGGGGGTCTGAACTTGAGGTCAGCATTATGGCCTCCATCATGGCTGTCCAGTTTGCTACTGACTGTACCACCAGGCTGCCTACAGTCAAAATTCCTGAAGGATCTGCCCTCCGCCACACACACAGTTGGTATACTTCTTCTTTCTCTCCTCCAGCTTTTCCAATTAGACTTCCGTTCCTTCTACTTCAACCTAATTGCTCTTCTCAAGGTCACCAGAAACTGTGTATGACCAAATTCAAGCGTCCCTCTTTCACCTTTATTGTACTCAAATTTCTGAGCTCATCCATCACTCCCAGTCTTGTAAGACTCTATCTTGTTGACCACCAAATTAGCATCAGTTCCTGCTTTGGCTTTAGAATAAAATAATGGTTCTCAGCTGGAGGTAATTTTGTCCTCCCAGGGAACTTCCTGCAACGTCTGGAGACATTTTTGATTTTCACAACTAACAAATGGTGGGGGATTAGGAATGATGGTATTTATAGTATCTGGTGGATAGAGGCCAGGAATGCTGTTATATATCCTACAGCCTCTTCCCCAAATAAGGAGCCACCAGATACAAAGTATCAATAGTACTGAGGTTCAGAAACTCTGAGATACAAGGCTGTCATATATTTAAGGTTAATTATCTAGACCAGGGTCAATGGGCCAAGTCTGCCTGTTTTGTAAATAAAGTTTTATTGGAACCCAGCTATGTCCACTTGTTTATGTATTACCTACGGCTGCGCTTGTGCTACAACGGCAAAGCTTAATAGTTAGGACAGAGAGAGTAAAGCCTGCAAAGCCTGAAATATTTACTGTCTGGACCTTTTTTCAGAAATGTTTGTCCAGGGTGAGGGTGAGATTTTCTGACTTTTTTTTTTTTAAGAGATATTTGCCATAGGGCACATGTGCTTGCTGGAGAGACTGAGAGACAGACAGCGAGAAATCACCCTGGGGGGATGGTCATGCCACAGTGGCTTCTCATTCATTCTCCTCTTGGGATTTTGGGCACACATGCACATGTGCCCAGCATGAGTTTCAAGCTGCTGGGTCAAGGACTCGAACCATGGTTGACTATGTGGGACTCCAGTGCCTTAACCACTTTGCCATCTGCTGGCCCCACGGTGAGGTTTTATAGAGAGTATGGCTTAAATATTCTATATTCATTCCTGAGTTCATTAAAGAAAGAAGAGATTTCTAAAGCCCACATCAAACAGAGTTGATGAATCACAATTCTATTTGGATATCTTAAAAACTATTTAATGTACTATGGGGCCAGCAAGGGGTGTGGTGGTTAAGGCGCTGGGATTCCCACATGGCTGACCAGTTCGAGTCCCGGACCTGGTGGCTTCCTTTCTCTGTTTCTCTCTCTCTCGCTCTTTCTCTGACAAAACTCATGTGAAAATAATAATAATAATAAATAAATAAAGTTAACTAAAATATTAAAAAAAAACTAATGTACTAAACATCATCTTAGCAGATAAACATTCTGGAAGCATTTGTCTAATTTTATTCATAGTCTAGAAAATATTTCTATTTTCTGTAAAATCTTTTTTTTCTTGGTATTATACTTCTCTCTTCCATGAGACACACATTCACATGCACGTGCACACACAGGCACAGGAACCCCAACACAGTCGGTGCTCCATGAATCTACCCCCAGTCTGAGTCAGCTCAGGCCACGTGTGAGCACGTTTGGCACATTCAGGGAGGCCTCAGGACTCAAACCAAGGACCTTTCCATGCAGGACCAGGACCGGCTGCGCTACCACTGTACCACTTTCTGGTCCCTCCATAAAAATCTTAACTGGGCTTTTGATGGTAAATGTTCCCAAGCAACATACAAATAAGAAAAGAAAAACATACGAATAAGGCAAGAAAAACATTCAATAGGTGCCATCGAAAGGCAGTCAGAAAGCATGAAACACTAATTTTTGTTGGTTAAAATGTCCTTTGTCTCCACCTGGTGGAATAAAGAGTTGTAGTCTGTTTAATCCAAATGAGTGGAAGGTGCTGGTTCCTTTCAGAGGAACCCGGCAGGACCCTGACTGACCCCACACTTCCACTTGGACAAGAAGGTGGTAACTGAGAGTCAGCGCAGGGTGGTTTCATCACTGTTTCGTGTCAATAAGCCTCATGATCCATCCAGGTCATTACTCAATATGTGGTGGGTGGTGACGTGAGATAATACTGCACTATTTCTGAAAGACATCCGAGCGCAGAGGAGACGGATGCCGGACTCCATGTCTCCCACCCCAGTGCCTCGTGGAAGGGAAGACAGCCGCTAGTCCCAGTCTCCC